AGACTTTTTCAACTGGTGCATTAGTTTCAGGGTAGCACAACGTAAATTAAAAAAAAAAATTATATAGAATGTGTTTATTTTTGAAATGGTGAAAATATTTCTACCCATCTTTTATCAATTTCAGCATGCTGATTTTCCAATTCTTTCAATTTATTATAATTTAAATATACATCCAGTCTTCCAATTTCTTCAAACAGACCATTTGTGCCGTGTTCACGCGTATTTTCTTTAACATGTCCTTTGGGTTCTTTGGGGCCAGTATTAATGGCAACTCTTTTCCAACCAAATCCACGAAGTGAAGTGTAAAAGAAAGATGCAAATTAGGAAGCTTTTAAATATCAGAAGTTAGAGTAAGTGGGATGGCAATTTGAGGAATGAAAACATAATCCGTGGTTCAAGCGTGAAGAAGTTTTGGATAACGCGACGTGGCGACAAATAGAAATTACACGAGATAGAGATCCATTGAGTCAAGGTGCATATACCATTGCACTCGAGTTAATGCAAGGCCTCATCTAGGATAGTTGTGATCGTTACTTAAACTATGGCGAGGTAGGATTGACTATTTAATATTAGGATCTGTAATAGTATTGAAATCATGTTTAGGCGAGCCAGTTATTGATAGTGGTCCGAGTTAGGATAATTCGGTATTATATAAATTGTATGTTCCACCACCGTAGATTCTCTTACATATATTATTATAATCTCATTTGTTAAAAGCTTAAGTTCAAAATCTTAATAAAGATGTATTAAGATTATGTATGCATCTAGTTCTTCCGTTAATTCTACACCTCTAACTCACGCTGATAATCAAAAGATGTTCACCCGAGGGAGGGGGGAATATCACACATTACCAACTATTTTAATATCAGGCATTTCTTTTGATAAAAAAAATCAAAACAGTTTTCTATAACTGCCCAATTTACTTGTGATGAAGTCCAAAAACACCATTGAAAACATTAATTTCCTACAGAGATTAACAGATCAGTTTTAAAATATTGAAAAGAAGGACAAGATGGAATATTTCGAGGAAGGACAGAACCTACAAAAGGAGAGCTGTCCTCCCTAAAGAAGGCCGGTTGGTCACCTTATTATTATGCTTTTTCCTTGAAAAAAAAAGTCTTAACACAAGCATTGTTTGGAACAACTGTCTTCTTTGCAAAAATGTACGAAAGCTTCTTTTAAATCACGCAAGAAGTTAAATTATAAAGTTTATTTAGGAAACTGCAAGTTATCCACATTATTGCGTTTGATTTTTGAAACTCGACTGCAGTTTTACAGCATTAAAAGTGGTATGTACAAATTTATATAGCTGGAAAAACTAGAAAGTTAGACATTCATAACATTGATTTAATAAACAAGCATTGCTTTCTCAGGATATTTTCTATTAATTGTTTCCGTGATACATATATACATATATGCATATATATATATATATAGTGCCGAATTTGAACATGCATAGCTTGTATAAGGACCTCGTACGTATTTGTATATATATATATATATATATATATATATATATATATATATATATATATATATACATAAACATATACATAAACATATACAAATACGTACGAGGTCCTTATACAAATTATTCATGTTCAAATTTGGCACTCTGTGAATGATTAGACATGTACATTTATAATGCATCAGAGTCTGGAACATTGCTTTTTTCAAGATTCAAGTTAGGTTTCTGGAAGTAAACAAACACGCAGGACGTGTGTATTCTAAAGTTGGTGAGTGTTTAGAATTATCAAATTAGAACATTCTGGAACGATTATGTGAAGGAGTTAGATTTCGAAGGAAGGCTACAAACTCCTAAAGTCAAACCCAACTGTTTATCACTCAGTGGAAGAAGAAGGATCAAACACGCCATAACTGCAATACTCTCTTCAGACCCTGGATACACATATGGTACCTGCAGTTTATAACTTCGTATTTTATTAACGGAGGAAATCAATACATTGAGATCGGTTATGTTTTGTTAACGCTCATGCTTTTCAGCTTTACAGTAAATTTTCAATCCACAAAGTGGTAATGTTTGATCAGTGAAGAAGCCTAAAAATTACAGTTTAAAAAACTAAAAAACACACTTTTATGGTTAATCGAACTAAAAAGTAAGGAACAATTCTTAATATAAGAACAAAATGATTACCGAGAAAATTAATGTCCTTGTGATAAAAGCTTGAGGTGCGCGATATCAAATGTTACAATTTCTTACTGGCTCTATTCCGAAATGCAGAGTTATTGTAAAAATGTAGTACTGTAAGGGCGCCCCCTCGGGTGCCCTTCTCCTTGATTATCAGCGTGAGCTAGAAGTGTAGGAATAAATGAGGAACTAGAAGCTGCTATGATCTCGTAATATGACTTTATTAAGATCTTAAACTTAAACCTATAACAGATTAGATAATAATATGATATGTGAGAGAATCTACGGTGGCTAAACACACAATATATATAATACCGAAATAACGTAACCCGGACCACTATCTATAACTAACTCGCCGAAGCTCAATTCCAATGCTATCACAGTTCCAAATATTAAATAGTCACTCCTACCTTAATGTCGAATGAAGTAGCGATCAATCTGATCCTAGTTGAAGTTGCGGTTCACTGGAGTGCAATGGTATGCACCTTGACCTAAGGGCTCTCTGTCACGTGTAACTTCTTTCGGCTGTCATTTATTCTTTCAAAACCTCTTCACACTTGAATCGCGGACTATCATAACATTCCCCAAATGCCACACGGCATACTCTGTTTCTGATATTTAAAAGCTTCCTAATTTGCATCTTTCCTTCACATTTCACTTCTTGGTTCGGTTGGAAAAGAGTTGCCATTAATTCTGGCCCCAAAGAACGCAAAAGGACATGTTAATGAAAAGACGCGTGAGCCCGGTCACAGTACTAAGCACCCCACACGCTTTTACCACAATGCCATTAATTTCTCATTAATCATTTTATTCTTATATTAAGAATTATTCTTTACTTTTTGGTTTGATTAACTATAAAAACGTGCTTTTTAGTTTTTTTAAACTATAATTTATTTTAATTTTTTAGTTCGATCTACAATAAAGCGTGTTTCTTTTTTTTTTTTAGTTTTTTAACGCCTTTTTATAAGTTTCACTTGTATGTAACGGAATCTTTGAACTCAATTTTACCCACTTTAAAAGGTCAGATTAATTCGAAATTTTGCTCACTTGTTGAGGACCGATGACAATACAATAATTTAACTATTTTGATCCATTGTCCTGATCAGGATCAGCAGGACTAACGATTTCCCATTTTCAGATTCCATCCGGTATCTGGTGACTAATTCCAGATCCCATTTTCAGATTTGGCGACTAAAAGATTAAGTTACAATTTAGTTCGATTAACTATAAAAGGGTGTTTTTTAGTTTTTTAAAAATACAATTTATTTAAACTATCCTTTATTCATTGATGAATTAATCTTAAATGCGTCAATTTGTTAGAATCTGGAATATCAATTAGCGTTTTTGCTTTAGGGTTGTTACTTAATCTTTTAGTCGCCCAAGATGGAAATGGGAACTGGAATTAATCGCCACAAATATGGAAATAGTTAATCCTGATGATCTTGATTAGGACAATGGAACAAAACTATTAGATTATTCTATTGTCAACGGTCCTTGACAAGTGTGGAAAATTTCGAATTAATCCGATCTTTTAAAGTGTGTAAAAATCAAGTTCAAATATTCCATTACATACAAGTGAAGCTTATAAAAGCGCGTTAAAAAGTAAGTTATTTCTTTAATATTTAGTTATAATTTTAGAGCTTTATATGAATTTTTTGATGTATGTGATTTCTAAGATTCGATAAATCATATAAGTAATATCACTTTTAACAGCTGTAGTATTCTTATTAAAATATATATTCAAGCAAATATAATTAGGTTATGAAATAGCCATTGCTCCTTGTCTTTAAACATTATGCTGAATTAGATATAAGATTTAACAAAATTTAAAGTAAGCTTTTTTATATTGAAATTATAACCTATAATAAAACATAAGATTGTTGTAAACTTACTTAGTCATAAATGTATACCAAAAATTAATAAAATTAATAAATTAATAATATTTACTGCTTCTGCAATTTTATTCCTTTTAATTGTGAATTAAAATTTTGAAGAAACTAACATCCTCTTAAACATGTTTTATATGAGAAATGAGAAATCGTTTATTCTGTAAAAATCAGTCTTATCAAGAAATAAAAAAAAATTGTGATTTAGCTTATATAAGTAACTAAATAAATAATCATTTATTTATTTTAAAATGTCATTTAGTCTACCAGAATGTCCTTTCCTCATCAGTATTTATTTACTTCTTCTTTTAAAAATACTTAAAAAAGTATTAGTTTTTTCTCGATAAAAAGTACTCTAAATAAAGGTTACTTTTCTTAATCTTAATTATTTCCAGCTATTAACAAAGAAATTATAGATAAAAAAAAATTCAAGAATTGTCTTATTTTAAGCGAATTTGCGCAATCAAAAAGCACAATGACTTACACATTTCACCGCTCTTTCTTTCTGGTGATTTATTTTCATTATTAAGCAGCTTAGTTCTTCGAGGTGGAAAAAATTTTGTTGATGCGGGAAAATGTCATGACCTTCATTTACAAAACTTCGAGATATGCATACAAAAAAAATCTGCATGTAAAAAAGTGTTAGAAGAAATCCAAGAAATTTAGTCTCCTCAGGATGTCAAAGAAGGAAGTTGTCGATTTTTATGTAAAATATTCTGAATTTAAATTTAACAAAAAATATAAAAAAATAAGCCAATTCCTACTTAGGTCAACAAAGAAAAATTTTATTTTAGTTACTTTTATTAAATAATTACAATTAATATAAATATGTATATACATATGAGAGAATCCCAGCATTAAATGACAAATCGGTAAGCGATTTCTCTTTTTGTAAATGGTGATGGACTATTACTATTGTTTACTAATATTTATTCATTTTAAAAACACATTCTCTGTAATTAGGCCATCCCAAGTTGGATACGAACCCACAACCTTTGGATTAGAATTCCAACGAGCAATTCATTGCGCTTCAGGGACACAACGAGGAACTTTCCTTTTTATACATGGTGTTGGACTCTTATTCTTGTTTGTTACTATTTTTCATTAATTAAGTTTAACTAATGAATTAATATTTTAAAAAAAAGTATTTTAACATCAAAGTGCCATCTACTACAAGTTTTAAAAAAATGTATTTGAAATTAAATGGATGAATAGAAAGTATTTTAGTAATGACAAACTTTGAACAATATATATATATATATATATATATATATATATATATATATATATATATATATATATATATATATATATATATACGAAGGGAGATTGTGAACTAATTGTAGGAAATGAAAAAGGAAAAAAATAGTCTTATGTACTTAAATTTATATTTTTAAAAATTTTGTTAACATATTAAAGTACAAAAAAGAAAGATTCTTACGTTTTAAGGTTTCATAAAAGATTGTTATTTTTTAAGGTATGATTTACCCAAATGAAATGACTTTGACTTCAAAAACTTTTTATTTAATCTGTACTCACCAAAGATAATGAATCTCGGAAGCAGAAGTAGAAATATATAATTCAACTGCAAATCGTATTAAAAAAAAAAAACATTAGAATTTTCGATGTAAATTATTGCTATTTTAAGATGATTTCATTCAAAATTTCTTTTAGTATGGAATTTAAAAGTCTACATTCAGGATTTTTAGAGGATTTAGGTATGTTAGCCAATTTGAAAAATCCTTTCCAGTGCATTTAGAATATGAATGAAATACACACTGTCACAAAAATTATATACACCAGGAAGAAATCGAGCTACTAGCACAATATCTGGCAGGAATGTAGTTTGGTAAGATACATGCGAATGATTAAATTTTCGACGCCAATGAGAAACGGGTAAACGCGCAATGCTCCAAAGAGATGCGAATCTGGGAGAGTTTAACCCTTTATCTACCGACGGTACTTACAAGTACCGCTAACTTAAAAATTACACAGAATAACCATTTTTACGAGTACTCTGACGAAACTTGAGAGGAACACTATTTTAAATTCCCTCTTTAAAGATATATAGCAGCACGGCTTCTATGATGAGTATTTTAGCACAGGGAAGGCGAATAGTTTTATAGCAGAAGTTATGTTTTCAGCGGATTGCGAAGATTGTCATTTTTGTTCCAAAAAATAGTTAATGTCAAAAAGCTAAGTGTCTTATTTTTTTATATGTTAAGAAAGACATTAGAAAACAATTTGACTATTTATCTTAAGTGAACAGACTGTATAATTAATTTTACAGTTTAATATCTTTAATGAATTAAATAGCTCTAAATGATTAAATTTCCCAAAGTTGAGAATTTTGTTTATGTATATCCCTAAATTTTCAATGTAGTGATTCAAAAAAAAATATTACATGAAAAAAACTGCAATAAATAATAATGCGGTAGATAAAGGATTACAAGCATGGTTGTTCGTGCCATTGGGTTATTCAAACAAATCTGTTGATTTGAATGCATGGTATTGAGACTAGAGATGCCACCGAGACGTAACCGGCAACCGTACGCACAATTGTTGGACTTTGAGAGAGGGCTTATAATGAGCCTTAGAGAAACAGGTTGGTGAAACAGACGTATAAGCCGCCACCTCGGTCGGAGCGATGTAATATTTACTCGGTGTTGGCAACAATGAATCACGAAAGGGGTAATCTACCTTTGCTGATGGTCAAGTGGCCATGCCTTTACCAACAACGTCAATAGAATCGATTCGACACCATTTACTTTCTTCCAGCCATCCAGTGATATCAAACGAAGTTATTCGGAGACGACTGGCTTAGTCAGGTATAAGGAGCCGACGTCCATTTAGACGCCTACCATTGACCCCACATCATAGACAGAGTCGATTGGATTTATCCCGACCTTTACCTTCGGGGAGGTGTGTGTGATTTTCAACAATGAATTCCTATTCAGCCTCAATGCTGAAGACCAGCGCAAACGCGTGTGGATTTAGCCAGAGCACCGGACCGAATCGGCATTAGTTATTGAGAGGTATACGGCGTTTATACAAGGTGTGGCAATGTGGAAAGCGGTTTGTTACGCTGCACGATCACATTTAATCAGCTCGTCACTTGACCATAGTTAAAAATTACTAGCTATGTAGCCAAAAGTCCTCGTGTAGCTGAACACACACAGTGTGACGTTAATATTAACTCACTCTAGTAAATCGTAAGATATATGTTGCTAGGGAGGGCAAAGAAGGGATACTGGATATTGATAATGTTCTTCGCAGATTGGTGACCCGAGATGTTTTGTGACAAAGCAGGGGTCGAAACGACACCGGTGAACGCTTAGGGTTAATTGGAATCCCGGACGTTCTAGTGTTAAATCACTGCCCAGTGATTCTGACTGCTGTGCCGCAGAGCCTAGGTTCGAATCCTCGAAAAGTCATGGATGCTTGAAAATGTATAGTGTCTTTGCGGCATCGCGGTACTCTACAAGTAAATAGCTATCGAATCGCAAGTCCTCTTGTGAGGTTGATGGAAGGGGAATAGAGGCAAGAGGGTCTTCACCCCTCGGGTTGTTTTCTCTGAAAATTGGGGTGGAACCGAGCTAAAATCGTACTGTCACCTGTATGGTGCTCAAGGCTACGGTCAATGACGCACGTACTTTTAGCCCCTTGCCATAATGAGTTTTGAGGGCCAGGATCTGATGCAGTCGAGACAACAACACATAAATCTCGGTTCCTTTACAGAAGGCGATTATATAATCATAGAGTGTTTAAAAGGTAATTTCCCTACATGATTAGTAAGAATCTCGAATAGAACCCATTATAAACTCTTCACGACAGGAACTGGAATTTTCAGAAATTAAATTTTTGAAAAATAATTTGATCTTTTCTTGTTTTACATTTTATCCTTTTAACCTCTTAAATTATTCTTGATCTTCAACCGTTTATTCTTTTGTTACTTAAATTTAAAAATGCTTTAGAAGGCTTTATTCATAGGTATTACAGACCACATTTAATTACAATGAGAAAATTTCTGAATACGATGCTTAAGTGTGTGTATGTGCATATGTTTACAATACCAGTATTCATTGTTTTAGCGGCACTAAATAATGTGACTATATACATAGTCATAATGAATGAAGGAATGCAATATATGTGTAATTATTTCTTTAGACTTTGAAATGTTGTCCCAACATAAAATTAAACAAATAGTTCAGGACAAAATAATTTAAACAATGGACCCTTTTAGTTTTTGATTTGCATTATATTTTCGTTAGAGAAATAGTTTCTGTGTTCAAACCAAAGTTTATTGCAAACTGAATGTAATTAAAAAATAAGAAAATTTGCTTAACTATTTCTTCTATTAAGTTTTAACTATTCAAGGGGTGCTTCAACTATATGAAGAGAACAGTAATGAAATATGCAGCGTTAAGGAAACAGAGTTAGGCCTCTTTCTAAAATTAAACTTATCATTTGATTCAATTGTAAGTTGCTTAATGCATTGCAATTGCTGGAATATTTTCTTTCTAATGAATGTAGAGCAATTTTTTAAAGTTTTAAAAATATGCTTTTTTTCAAATAAGATTGTTTCTCTAAATGGGTACAGAAATGGATAATGAGATTATGGAATCATATGCGTTAATAATATTTAAGTAATATTACATTAATACAATGTTTTACGTTGAATATATTACAAATTAATATCCGTTAAATGACTTCATTTCCTTTATGCTTTTACATTGGAGGAAAGAAGAACTGATTAGTTCAGTGCTCCTCAAACTTTCACTGTTTGCGACCCACTTTTCAATCATAATTTACATCGCGCCCCACCTTCCATACAATAATAATGTATTGAATTCAATAACACTATACTTTGACTCTAATGCTACTACACGACTTCAACTTCAAGTGTTACTGACGTATATAAACGTCTCGCTTAACCCAAACGATAATTGCCATGGACGTATATATACGCTTTCGTGAAGTACGATCTTTTCTGTGCACTGCTATCTATAAAATTATTCCGAAGTCCTCGGAATACAATAAAAGGACATTGACAGTGTTTTCGAAGGATTTACTTATTTCATGGGATTTGCTTATTTATTCCCTTTCTCTCCCCCCCCCAAATATCAGATACGTGCGCTTATGTGGAAAACGGTGCAATGGGGAAGGATTTGAGTAACTTTTAACCGGCAGTTAAGGGATTAATTATAAACCATACAAATTATCAAGGTAAGTGTTAATTTTTGTATTTTATTTTTTGAATGTCAAACCCATGGGGTCACTGGTAATTCTTAAACTTGTTCTTACCTTAGTATTGTTAAACTAATTATAAAATGCATGGTGCAGTACTGATACATTTATAAGTGTATTATATCAGTTTAAATGTGTATTTTATTTTTTATCATGTCAGAATGTATTTTGTGTGTGTTTGTTCACTTTCCACAAATTAATAATTCTCTAAATGTATCCGACTACTTTCGGAACCGTGATTTTAGAAAAGCGCGTAAATGAATAATTTTCATGATATTTAGTGTCACTTAGATTAAAATGCATGCATAAAATTGGTTTTAAGGATATTTTGGCAAACAAATTTATTTAAATACAATATTTCGGTAAAAAATTAACTTAGAATAACTTTTATTCAAATGTTCTACTTTTGTGAAAAATGCTTCTATTATAATAATATTTTGTCTGTATATAGATCAGACCTCTGCACATAGGCTCAAGTATCATTTTTGAAAAATTCACATTACTTTCAGAGTTACAACCCATTAAAATAATTATCGGCCTTTTTTTCTTCTTAAAATTACTCCCCTCTGTTGTAAAACATGGATAAACTCACTTCAAAGTTATATATTTCAAAAATTCTAGTTGAGCCTCTGTACAAAGGTCTGAGCTATATACAGGCGAAATATTATTATAATAGAGCATTTTTCACAAAAGGAGAACATTTTGAAAAGGGGTCATTCTATGTTAATTTTTTTTCAAAATATCGTACTGAAATAATTTTTTACTGTAATACTATTCTTAAAACAATTTTA